GAGGCCTCTGGGGCCTGTGGCTCTGCTGGTGGCTGTCAGCCGCCCTCGCAGCCTCCCCTCCAGGAGACCTGGCCCAGTGCTTCCGCCCTCCGGGTCTGTGCCCAGGGTGCCCTCCAGCCAGGGCGACAGCAGCTCTGTGGGGAGGGAGGAGGCCGGCCATTCTGGGCGAGTCCACCTCCCCATCTGTAAGGAGGGGCAGGGACGGTTGCCCAGGGTCTCCCAGCTCAGTCCCCACCCCTGTCTCGTTGAAGGGACCCCTCCTTGGCTCCTGAGGCTGTTGCAGTCAAACAAGATGCCCGGCCGGCCTGGCTCAGTGGTGAGCGTGGACCTAGGAACCAGGAGGTCACAGTCCCATTCCCGGTCATTGCCGGCTCGATCCCCAGTGGGGGGCGTGCAGGAGGCAGCCGATCCATGATTCTCTCTCATCACTGATGCTTCTCTCTCTCTCTCTCTGAAATCAATACAAATATATTTTTAAAAAATAATGTTTTATAAAGACTCGCGCAGACCAAGGCAGCCTGGCTCTTGGCTCACCGAGTGTGCGTGACCAGTAGTTGCCCCTGAGGCTCCGGGGCAGGGTTTGCACGCACCTTGAATAACTTGTTATTAAGCCGGGATCTTTCGGACCCGGATTTTCCTAACTGCCCCACTTTCACCTTCTCTAAGGGCAGCACGTGTACCCACTCGCTTCGAAATCGTCAGCGACCAGAGAGAGCAGATCTGAATCTGAGTCGCCAGGCGCTCCTGGCTGACGTCCGGGCTCAGCGGGCGTGGCTGTCCCTCCCGGCGGCGGCGGCTCGGGTTACTCCTCCGCGGGACCCACGGAGCCGTGGACAGAGGGCCCTTTATCAGAAGCAAAACAAACCCGCGCCGGCTCCATTGGAGACGACTAGAAGGGAGATGAAGGGGACGGCTGCCCAGCGCACAGGCATCAGGTGCCGACGCCTCGTGACCGGGGACGCCCTGCGCCTGGCGTTTTCCTGGTCTGGCCTCACCTCCGGCGCAGGGGAACCACTCACTGGGCTCCCACTGC